AGTAGTCCGTATATTAGACATCACAATAGCTCTTGCACGAACTCCGGAAACAAGGCCTTTATTCTACATCCCATCTGGCCGAACTCTTCAGAGAACCCTGTCAAACCCCAAACCAAAACCCTGGCGCCCCAAGTCCAAGACCTTCAGCATGGAAAACCTCTTAACCCCTTCCCTAAGCCCTAAACTGTTCTGGCCGTAACCGACCGCGAGTATGCACGGCCGCAGGTTCCAACGCCCCCACCTTTTCGAGCTTGCACGATTCTCAGCTTTAGGCTCCAGGGTGATGATACATGCTGCAAGGGCCTCTAAGCTTCGAGACATTGGGTTTTGCTGCAAGGGCGAACGGTTCGCTGTTGAGGTTTGGAGGGTGTCAGGCAGTAGGGCTTTTTTTTTTATAGGTCCGGCGGATCTAGGGTTTTGGGGCTTCTAGCATCCATGCGGGTAGTGACAAAATGGAAGCAGAATACAGGATTGGTTGTTGCTATTGTTCCTACAGTACGTATGTCATGTTTAAAGCTAGCTACCTTCACTATAGCTGATATCTTCCATGCATTTCCCGACTAGGGTAGTTGAGACTTTCTGCGCGAAGCCGTTCAGCCACAGATCCCACGGGACAAATGGCCAGTAGGATACCGTCTCAGCTGAAAAAAAGGAGCTTGAAGATCATGCACCGGATATCCAAACGATATGATCAATGGCTGAACCATCTTACCTATGTCTACGATATCATGTCTATTTGATGGCTGAGCCCTTCAGGGAACGTGCATCAAGTGTACGAGCTTCAAGTTTCGGTTGACGCATCATCATCATCACCATCATGATCAGTACCACCATGATGATCATCCTCATCATCATGATGATGAGGATGATGATCATCATGATCATCTCAATCGTCATCATCACAATCATCATCATGATCAACATCATCATCAACATGATACGCATCATCATCATCATCATCGTTAGCGTCATCATGATCATCATCATCATCAGTTTCATGATCATCACCATCATCATTATCATCATCTTCATCATGGTCATGATCGTGATAATGATCATCGTCATTATCATCATCATCATCATCATATCATCATTATCCGACACCCTCCAAGCCTCAGCACCAAACCCTGAGCCTTCGCAGCAAAAGTCAGAGTGTCCAGAAATCCCTCAAGCATTCAACCCTGAAGCTAAAGCCGTAAACCATTAAATCCCTAACCCGAAGTCCTAAACCCTTCACGCCAACAACCTAAGGCCTTGAACGCTTCCGCGCGGAAACGCGAAGCCCTAAATCCCGGACCGCCCAACCCCCTGAAAACCCAAGACATGAAAACTTCAACCCCCGGAGCCTGACACACTGAAACCCTCAAACTCCAGCAACACAGGAGCCCTACATCCGTAATTTACAGCTTTAAAAGCTGGAATTCCCAAGCACCTGGGCCCTAGAAGCCTGTTACCCGTCCGCTTACAGGGTTCAAAAAAAGGCACGGCCACGTGGCCGTGCCTGTTTTTGAACCCTTTGTCCCGAGGTGCGAACCGGCTGACAAGAGGCAGCGCAGCCTCGCGTAGCAGTTGGCTTGGGGTTTCCAGGGTTTGGGTCTTGGGTTTAGGGTTTAAGGTCTAGGGTCTAGGGTTTAGGGTTTAGGGTCTTGGGTCTAGGGTTTAGGGTTTAGGGTCTAGGGTCTAGGGTTTAGGGTTTAGGGTCTAGGGTCTAGGGTTTAGGGTTTAGGGATGGTGTGTTTCCAGGGCTCGCTGTACGGGTTTTCTGGCTTCCGGGGTCTGGGCTTCTAGGGCTTCATGTTTTCGCGCGGAGGGTTGTCGTGGCTGGAGGGTTCCGTGACCGTTTGTTGTCGAAGTTTTTCGGCTGAAGCTCTACGTTTGGTGCAGTGCCTTCTTCTTGCGGGGATGGTGGGGCCGAACGCGAATGCTGATTACCACGCGAGAGTGCTCGAGGACCTGAACGTGATCCGAGGGCATGCCACTTTCGCCGACATCCTCACGGATCAGCCTCTCTCCATGGCAGAGGCTGGTTTGGCCGGTACCAAGGCCAGGGTCATTCCCGCTTATCCGTCGGGTCTCCTTAGGACGGAGCTGGGTACCTCGGTCTGTTGGTTCATTCCCGCTATGGCCCTCATTCCCAGAATCCCCCACCTCCAGATGGAACCAGAGCTCTGGAGGCAGAGGGTGTTCGCAACCCCTTGCTCCATCTGACGGTGGTCCTAGGGTCTGTCCTAAGGTAAGGGATGCAGAAACCAGGTGCTCAGTTCTAGTAACGGGTGTTGGGAGCCTTGTTGCAGCAACTGGACCCGCCAACCCAGAACCCTGCCCTTACAACGAACCCAGGGAGGGGGGTCTGGTGCACGAAGCGGTTGCTGACACCCTCACCCTTCATCCGCACCCTCTCCGTTCATCCGGCAGGTGCCCTTCCAGGCCGCAGCGTTCAACCAAGCCATGACCACTGCTGCCGAGTATCAGTGCGCGGGGAACATCTTCTGGGTTGACTTCTTCTGGTCGGCGCAGCCCACGGTGGCCCTGAATCAGAAGTCCATCGACGTCATGAGAGATGATTTCTTCCGTACGCCGACGGCCTGGCCAGCTGAGCATCCCATCCGCATTGCCATCCCGTCTGGCTGCACTGCAGTTAAGCTTAAAAAGCTTCAAGGCAGCATGCAGCGCTACAGCCCGGAGGAGGTGGAGCACGGATTCCTTGCTGCAGTGGCTCGCGACATACGCGCCGGTGAGCCAGAAGCAACTTTGCTGTGGGGGCCTCAAGCTATGCTGGAGCTGAAATCAAGTAGCTTGAAAACTTGCCTAGTCCCTTGTCCTGCGTCAGTCAGGAAGTGGCGTGCTGTTGCTTTGACGGCGAGCCTGGTGTTTGTCGTGAAGGACGCACGGGATAGTCTAGAGTCTAGACCATCACGCCTGCTGCATAACTGCCCCTGCGGCAGTTGTACAAGCGCAGGACAATGTCGAGGACATCCGCTGGGAGGCGATCAATGCCAGAGAGAAATATGTCAGCTCATTCGAGGCTCTGGCTCGCAGCGCCTTGCAGCGAGTGGCGGAGATCATGGCCTACAAGGCTTCTTTGGAGAGCGGAAAGACGGACATTGGCACAAAGGACTTGCATGCCAAATGGGATGCTAGGGGGTTCAAGAAGAGCAGTTCCAAGCTGAGCGTGCCGGTCTCCTTCAACTTCGTCGACCAGGCCGTCCGCCTGAGCAACGGGCTGCTCTCCAAGCCAGTGGTGCGGAAAGCTTTGCTAGACTTCGAGTCTAAGTGGGGGAAAGCATCGCCTTTGAATGTCCTGGAGACTCTGACGGCTCTGCAGAGCAAGGTGAAAGGAGACACGGACATCGCGTTGTGGATCCTTGCCTCCATCGACGATCTGCTGTCCTGCCAGATCAAGAGCTTCCGGGATCTCTCGCCCGTCTTCCTTGTGGGCAACAAAGGCAGCAAAGGCGCCTTTGACATGTACATCGCCAAGAGGGGGATGGCGCTCTACTTGCTGAACACGCATCTCTCCGCCAACAACTTCCCTGCCGAAGACCTCAAGCGCCTCTCGGAAATCTGCCTGGATCACGCGACCTTTCGCAAAAGGTGCGGAGGCGGCTGCATGAATGTGGACATCGCCTGGCAGGGCCTTTTCCCAGAACACAGTCGGAAGGCTGCAATGTGCACGGTCTGTCCGCGCGCGCATGCAGTCTTGCTTAAGCCCGCCCCACGCTTGATCACCCTCAGGCACCTTGCTCTTTNNTCTTTGAGTCTGCCGCAGGTGCTGAGCTTCTTCTCGCAGGCCGTGTATGGCGTCACGACAGATGGAAGCCTGAAGACGGCTCTCAAAGCCAGCTCAGAACCGAAAGAGCTGCTTGCGTCATCGCCGTTCAAGGAGATGCTGGAGGAGATCCTGGCGCTGATTGCACCGCCGCCTCATGGAGGCCCTGCGGCCATGGAGATCGTTGCGTGCACAGATACTGACTCGGTCGCGGTGGACGGCTTGACGCTCGCGACATTGGCGGTGCCCGCGGAGGTGATGAAGAAGCACGAAGGCTCTTTGACGACTTGGCTGACGACACTCCGCGAGCACCAGTCGACATTTGTGCGGCTCATCTCCCAGGGCGATGGCGGCGTTGGTCAGATTGCTGCGCTCCTGGAGGGTTCCGTGGTGAAGCACCTGGACTCGGACCAACGACTGTTGATCTTCTACGACTCGAAGTGTGCAGGCGAGGCTTCGACGCAGGCTCATGTTCGCCTTCCAAGCTTCAACCAGGAGCGCTTCAAGACGATGATGCAAGCAGTCTTCACTGCCCGCAAGGACCTTCAGCGGGCCAAGTGACAACATTTTCAGGGATTTCGGCTGCTAGTTTATGAATCTTGACACGACATGTCACAGGATCCCGAGAACCACGGACCGTGCGGCTCCGACATTGTCATGATCATGGACGGTGGGCGGCAGATCGACTCCAAGATCACGAGCAATCTGGTCAAGGCCGATGGCCACCCTTGGCCCAGTCGGCATCGTCAGCTCTTCACTGTTTGCTACGACGAGAAGACTTACGAGATGCGCAGAGAGCGCTCGCGCGGGTTCGTTCAGCTCACCGAGGGTGTCCACTGCTACAGCAGTGAGCCCATGGTCTTGGAGAAGCGCCAGCGCTTGCATTTCTGGGGGAGCAACATGGCCGAGATCATCAATCCGGTGCCCCTTCCTGACTGGAAGGAGCTGTGGCTCCTGGACCGGCCGACGAAGCTCAAGCTCTACACGGCAAATGGACGGCACCTGAGTAGCGGCCCCAATCCGGATCCGGATTTTGTGCCGCCCAAGTTCGACAATGCGCGGGAGCCGGTGGCGTGGCACAGCAATCACGTGAAGCTGTATGAAGAATTGTTGGTGTCGTTTCAGTGCAAGGCCGTGGTGGATTTGACGGCCTGCGACGAGCAATTCGCCCTTGCATGCGTGCACATGAAGGTGCCTTACTTGGGCGTCTGCTGGGGGGACCGGCACAAGGAACTTCTGGACAAGCAGCTTGGGCAGCGGATGTGGAGCGAGTACCGCACAGAAGGCTCCGCGCTCTTCCGCGCTGATATGTGCGCACCTCAGTTTTCAAAGGTCAGTGGTAGTGGACTCATGTAAGTCAGCGAGTCAGCGAGTGAGTCGGAGCAAGCCTCCATGGGTCGGAGTGCGAGCTAGGTAGGCGAGTGATTCTAATGACAGCTCCCACGCAGGGCGCAGTTGTTCAAGAGCGAGGAAGAGCAGGGCACCGAGCGGGTCCAGCCGAAGGGGAAGGGGAAGCGCAAGTTGAAGACCGCTGGCGCTGCGGCCGGCAGTGCCGATGGAGCCAACGCAGGCGGCGGCGCGTCGACATCGACATCGACAGGTGGTACCTCGGCAGCGGCAGGGGCCAAGAAGCCACGCAAGGGAAAGCAAGGATTGCAGGGGAAGCCACCGATCAATCCCAAGGCGGCGGCCCGTGCCAAGGAGATCCTGGCTCGCTTGCACAAGGCACGTCTCGCTTCAGAGGACAACGATGAGCCAGGTCCTGGGGTAGAGACACCCGGCGTGGAGACGGTGGACGCGGAGTAGGTGAACAGTGCTTGCTAGAGTCATAATCAGTGCGGCCACGGCATGATAGCGGGAACTGTGCAAAGGCCTCCGCAGAGTTGTGGTGTGATGGCCCAAGCAAGCAACGAAATACACATTGCTTCCAGGGGCAGTGCGAACCTCACCGACGCCACAACTAGGCCAGGGAGACCGGATTCCAGTTTTGCCGGCTGCATCAGCCGGCCGATGTACAGACACCGCGTTGTCCTGTAGTGGCCCCCTGAAACTTCACAGCCTTGAATCGACTCGCAGTCGAGCACAGCAGACGGCACGTACATCCGTGCGATCGTTCGCACCCCCTTGAGCAGCGCTCCAAAAAGTGCTAGACATGCCATGAACGTCTCGTCGGATGAGCCTGCTCTTCGCGTGTTCCTGAAGTCAGCCCTCCCCCTCAGCGACAACCGAAATTCCAAGAACTAGAGGAAGCCCCGACACTGCACGCAGGCCGACCCTGGGCGCGCTCTCTTAGCGCGGGTCCCCGGGCTTGACTCCCGCTTCGTTGCAGGGTTGCGCACGGCTAGGTCACGAGAGTGCACTTCAGGCGACAGAGAGCATGCTGCTGTGATGCGCTGGTTGTTGTTGTTGCCCAAAGAGAACCCCAGCAAACCCAAGCTTGCGTAGTTCAACAGTGCAGTAAATCCCGAAGCCCCAAACCCGGCAGCACCAAACCCTCCAGCCCTGACGCGAGGCTGTGAACCCTGAAGGCTGGAAGCAATCTTGCAGTGGGGAGTACGGAGCAGTTTGTGAGTGCATCCTCATTCAGCCGAGCAGGTTGTTGCCAGTGATTGTGATTTGGTCTGGGGAACTGCTTGTCTTCATAAGCGGCTTGTGGCTCGAGGGCGTTAATTCGGCAGTTGCCGTGACACGTTATTTGATGTAATAAGGGCTGCGCCCATCTCATTGATTTCTCCTATCCCGGGTCCTGGAGACCTGGATGTTGAAGCGTGCATGTGGCCTCACGCAAGGAGCCACTTCGAAAAAGCGGAGATCCCAGGCCATGCCTGGATCTGTCCAGGAGATTCCCCGCAGCCCCAATGAGACTCGTTTGCGTGTGGGTTCTGCCTGCTCCGGCTGGTGTTCCGAGCTCTTTGCCCTCAGGAGACTTGGGATACCTGCCGAAGCCAGTTTTGCTGCCGAGTGCGATGCAGCCGCCCGCCTGATGTGCCAGGAGTTGTGGGGACACAGGTTCTTTCCAACCGACGCTTTGGACGACGCATTGCTAGAGAGCACTCCTGATGTGGATTTCTTCTGCGCAGGCCCGCCTTGCCAGGCCTTCTCGGTGGCGGGGATGGCCTTGGGCGCAGCAGATGCCAGGGCTGGGCTTATGCTCCAGGTGTTGCTCTACATTGCCCGCCGCCGGCCTGGCTGCTTCATCATTGAAAACGTGGTTGGCTTGCCGCTGCGCCATGGGGACTTCTACGATTGGATGGTGCAGTATCTGACAGACTTAAAAGACAAGCATGGCCGGCCCGCGTACAAAGTCGAGTGGACAATCTTGAATGCAAGGCTACACTCGGGCATCCCGCAGCACCGCGAGCGTGTCTTTCTGGTGGGTTTGCGTCGGGACCGGCAGCGCAAGCCCCTCAAGTGGCCTGCCGAGGCGTGGTTCGGGTTGCTTCAGGGTATCAGAATTTCAGCATAACCGAAGCTTCCATCTCTCGGATCCCTACACCCTCACAGGTGCCTATGCGAAACCTCTCTCAGTATCTGCTGCCACCGACGCTACCGCGTTCTGACATCGATCCGGAGTCCTTACCCAATGCCACGGCTGCACGGAATGTGACAGAGTTCGTGCGGACTCTGTGTTCACGTGGCGAGGATCCGATGCAGCCTGGCTACGTGCTGAATGTGGGCGGGACCTACCCACACTGGAACAAGGGCTATTGCCCGTGCATTACCAGAAGTCGAGGTGCCTCTCGGGGATTCTATCTTCCTTGGCTAAGTCGTTCTTTGTCAGTGCAGGAAGTCACGATGCTACAAGGCGTGCTTCCCGGGGAATTACCAGAAGGCCTCCTAAGTGACACGCAGCTAGGGGGCCTAGCCGGCAACGCCATCCCGATTGATTTATTGGCGGCAGTCCTCCGTAGCGTCCTTACGGCTGCCGGTTTCCTGTAAGCATAGGATTCGACTTGAGCTGCGTCAGAAAAGAAGGCTAGCGGTCACATGTGTCAGCACCGACGCCTTGTGAGTGGTGGTGAAACTGGTGAGATAGGAGTGCTACGAAGCCTGCGCTTGCCAGTCACATCATTGTACCGACAAGCCAGAACCAATAATTTCAGCAACGAACCAGCTCCGCTGCTGGCCTGCTTCCTGACGTGTGCAGGCTTCTTTGGACGACGAACTGATGCCCCTTCGCAATCTTGTGGCTGCGAAGGCCGCTTTGGCAGCATGTCGCTGAACCTTCTGACTCGGCTGAAAGTAGATGTTGTCAAGCATTCTGCAGCATGTCCCCGTGACAAGAGAAGTCACTTTTGTAGCCACACCTGCCTGTTTCCTGAGCGTCACACTGGTCTTCTTCATGCTGTGCGAGGAAACTGCCACCTCTAGTCAGGGATTTTTTCCTGACTTGGCACTCGGCCAGGTGCTGGGGACAGCAGAAGCGCACGGTCCCACAGCTGCCGTGCAGTTTGCGTGTTGATTTCAGGTTAAAGAGCTCGATCTTCAGCACGTGTGGCTTGCTCTTGACGTCTGTCTTTTGCCGGCTCACACCGCAGCTTGGGTTTGCCTCCATGTGCCCGCTTAGGCCCTCTACTCTGCACCTTTCTGGGCATCTTGCGCATCACGGCTTTCAGACTGTCGCCACCTCAGCTGGCTGACCTACGTTTGAAACCTGCCCGGACACTCTGGGTGTCCGCGTGCATTTGGAGGTTAAGTAAGGGTTTTACTGGTCTACAAGCTTTGCAATCCGGGTCTTTGCTCAAGGCAGAAAGGCTTATGCAAGAAGGAACGTCGAGGCTAAGCTGTACTGGGCTTTCTGGTTGTGTTTGATTTGTTCGGGATGAAGGAGAAGTGTTCTAGTTGCACTATTTCGGGAGATTTGTCCGGTGATCCGTCTGCTCAACAATTTCAGTGTTCAGAGGCACATGCAGGCAGCACATGGCTTCCTCAACAATTTCAATGTTCAACGGCGCGCGCAGGCAATATATGGCTACCTGTCAGACTCAGCATCCATTGAGTGTGCACCGCCGCCAGTCATGCTCTGAGAACATGCGCACGTTTCAGCTCAGCAGGGGCAGCATAACCAGCACCAGCACGGGCATCAGCAACACCAGCACAAACACAGGCATCAGCAACACCAGCACCAGCACGGGCATCAGCAACACCAGCACCAGCATGGGCATCAGCAACACCAGCACCAGCACGGGCATCAGCAACACCAGCACCAGCACGGGCATCAGCAACACGAGCACAAGCACGGGCATCAGCGACACCAGCCATAGCACCGGCACGGACCACCACACCACTAGGAGGCCATTTTGGCCGTTTACTGTCATGTCCCGTCGCTGGGACGGGGAATGGCGCACCAACTGGGAAGAGAACAAAAGGAAAAAGCAGACGCCCTCGGGATCCTCCAATGCCAAATGCGATGAGCGCTGCCAGAAGCTGGCCGCGAAACTGAAGGAAAAGGATGCAGAAATGGGTGACAAGGCGGGAACACAGTGTAACCTGGGTTTGGGAATCTTCAACACAGTCAGAGGTGTCGAGACAAGAGCAGCACACGGCGGCTGCAGAGGCGGGGCGGGAGTCACGCACGAAGCAGAACCGCACACGCTTGCANNTGCAAGAGATGTCGGAGAAGCTCCGCGTTACAGAGGCCGTGCTAACCGGCTGATTTTGCAAGCAAGCCCGCCAAGCACCGGCGCAGGTCTTTCGCGTGCAGAACTTGATGGAGTTTCGTTCCATGCAGGAGCGTTTTACTGAAGCAGAGCATGCGATCGACTCGGAGGCCAGGGACTCGGGACTCTGCGCAGCTCAAATTGCTGTCACTCCGAGCCTGTGCTGTTACTCTGTCTGAGCCAGGCTGCGTTATCTCGGCAGCTTGCCGAGATGCGGGAGGCAGGTTGGGCAGCCGGGAGGAGTCACCGCAGGGACTGCAGCGCTTGAGGAAGACGACGCTCGGAACACCGAGATGAAGGCTCTGCAGGCGGGGAATCCGGAAGTGGCAGGCTCCTTGGATCGCCTCTTTCATCACGCAGGCCGAAGCAGAGGCTGCCAAATCCGAGACGGCGGTCGTGCGGACAGCAGCTTGGCAACACAACATTGATGTGAAATCATAAAGGGTAAACTTTTTTTTGAATCGTAGCCCCGTCCTTCTTGAGAAGCACGCCCTGCACTGCATCCTACCAAAAGCTTGCAAGGAATACCTCCGGAGCTCCAACGCGTCTAAGACTGCGAACATCGAGTTGAGGGACTACTACGCGGCCAATGCAGTTCTCCGGAGCGACAAGGACGG